GTGCATGTAGTTTGACTGAAACTAGGGTTGATAATGTTTGCTTTTCACCAATTACACATTGAAATATGTAGATGTGTGCGCAATCAGAGTACGAGCTGAGAGCAGCCTTGTGTAAGAGAAAGCCGGCGGATATTGAGAGGGGGTAGGCACAGGGAGAGGTGAAAGAGTCATGGCTTTGTTTATGATTATTGATATCCTTAGACAAACATATTCACCTGGATAATAAAAACAGATGGCAGTAGGTGAGGCAAATATTACCATGTGGAAAATTAGAGAGGTGCTAAATCAGCAAATCGAACCTCAGCGTGCACAACAGAAACGCACACGCATGCCGAAACCTGTGCACACACACCTGAGACTAATCCACACACACATAATATAGACATCTGAGTGAAATTTCTACCTCTACAAAAACTGAAGCACTCAAAATTGAGGGATATCCTGATTAGTCTCATCACTTTCACACAAAAATAAAAGTCAAATAAAACCTCTGGAGCGATCAGTTTTATTCTTTTCAAGCTGCATTAATACCATAGGTGTCTTGAAAGCACTAGAAAACATTGAGCAGATTCAGCAAAGTCTCCATATGCCAGAATTGTCTTTATTATGGGGAATTTCCTGCAGGTAAAGCTAAATATCTTTTATAGTTTGGAAGCAGACATAAGGTGCCCAATGAGATGTGTCCCATAAAAGGCATGGAAAATAAGTATGAGTATTTAGCAGAACGCTGCACTCTCTCTCCTCCATGCTTCTTTTTTTCCTCCCCCCCTCTGCTTTCTTTCTCTTTCTTTCTTTCTTTATGGCAGAAATTGTTCCTTTTCATCACATCACGGGTTGGAAGAGAACTTTAACACACCGTTAGCTCAGCAGGAGCTCCACATGATTTGATAGGCTGAGAGGCACCCCATCGGTCCTTTGGGCTGTAAAACAACTGTCTTGAAGCTTATTTTATGAGTGCACGCCTCTGCTCTTTGCATGTTTATGTCAAACATTTGGAACAAATGGCATCCATTGGCTGGAACAACACAGATAAATCTAGTCAATTCATAGGCAGGGAGAGCAGCACAAGCCACTGAGAAAGTGGCCCACTTGATGGCTGACAAGAGGAGTGCTTGCATTATTCAATTAATACCTGAAAGGGGTGAATTTTATGCAGCATTTGCTAAAGCATCCTCTCGTCAATGTACGCATGGCACACACAAATACATACACACACACACATACTCCCACACAAACACAGGGACTTGTGTTTGTTCCTGGGAAAAGACTGGACTCCCCTTCCATTTTGCCAAATCAAATATACAGTGAGAGCAAGCTAAAAGGCACTTTCAATCAGCAGCTCTGGGTCTGTCTGTCAATCTGGGAACAACAACAATCTAGCCTACTTGGAGTGGTCTAGTCAACATCCATTCCCCAATAAATTCAATCAGGGATGCTTTGTGTGCGTGTCGTTGTGTGAGTTGGGAGAGTCTAAGCGCAAGTGTTTATGAGAGAGCCAGAGCGAAGGACAGAGACTTTTTCTGACAGGGTTGCTTTAGAACAACAAAGGATCTGTTTAAAGTGACACCTGCACGTATAGAGGATGTTGAATATTCATAAAACAAAAGATACAGACACATCTAGGTTATAAATACAGGATATAAAGAGGTGAATACATTTTACAGTGACAATAGGAATCTCTAGTTCACCAAATAATCTTAGAAAGCCAAGTAGCAGAGTTAACAGGCCTGAGCTAATGACACTGATATGGAGGGCTGCACGCTGGAGTGATTGTCTGACTGTTTGAGACCCAAAAGCAGCAATAGCAGGCTCATCATGGACTCGCACTCTCATTATTTGGCCACAAATGGAAATGCAAATCGCTCGCTTTGCTGCGGACGCCTCAAATTTATTAAACTAAAAGGTTTAATTTCCATTTTTCTCTGCATCAGCTTTATTTATAAATGTCGTGCCCTATGAAGACCCTGTTATTTTTTCCCTCTCCTGCAGGCTCTTAACAAATCTGCTCATTAATATGGAAATGGAGAATCAATCGCTTTTCCGGCGACAGAGGGCTGTTTCCCTCTGCGGTGTGTAATGTGCTCTGACTGGTCAACAGCACAAACAGATTCACAAGCACACACACAATATATATATATATATAAAGCTATACATTAATACATATCTATACACAGTCTCTATTTATATCTCCATCCATATATGAATACAAGAATAACACATTCTACACAGTATTTTACTATATGGCAGTGACATCATCTTAATACTGAATTCAGACTATTGCCAGAATGGCAGCAGATGTTGCAGCATTAATAACCCATAATATCAAGTCCTGCTTATTCAACCTTTTCAGAGCCCTAAAATAACACTCATAGACCGTAATGAGATTAATTATGCACACGGTTCTTATTCAGGGCAATATGATGATAATTGCATCTGCGGCTTTTAACACTTGGTCGTCATGTTGGCCAGTAAATTGCTTCTCTCTCCCTCTCCATCTGCCTGCCTGCCTCTCTCTCTCTTCTCCTGTCTGTCTACAGTCAACAGTGGGGAGTGAACTATCACACCTATCCACTCTGGTCCACGACCTAATGAACATTTCTAAATGGCCATGACCAGCTGGTTAAGAGACTAATGTAGCAGCTATTAGCCAAAGCAGTTGTTTCCACACAGAGTCATCTGTGGAAAGCAGCACAGGAAAAGCAGGAGAGAGTGGACAAGGACAGACAGGTCCCCCTTTTCCCACTATTTCTTTTCATATCCGCACACATATATACAGTGCATACGTGTACACACACACACACACACACACACACACACACACACACACAGCACAGCATGTTTATCTTTCACATTCTGCAGCAAACAAGCCATGTGACATATTCTCAACCCACAGTGCATTAGTGCTTATTAGGGCCTCAAGGTGTGTGAGTGTATGTGTGTCTTATTAGGAAAATTCAGTTTCACTCAAGGTCTCAGCACTATGGTTGCAGACCAGTGGCCATTGATTATTCATAGAGTCTGTGATTGGGTCCATTAATACAAGATTAGGGAAGGAACTGATGCTCATTTTGTGTGTGTGTGTGTGTGTGTGTGTGTGTGTGTGTGTGTGTGTGTGTGTGTGTGTGTGTGTGTTTGTTGGGCTGTGCGCATGTTTGTGGACAGGAGTTGAATTGCAATGATTCCACAGTTTGTGTTTATTTACACTCTATCAATGCAAAACATTATATAGGTACAGTACATACTGAAAGGCAGAAGGAGCACATTAGCAGGGTGTGAAGGTGTTTACTTAATTATTAACAAAAAGCACATTAGTATAAAATAAAGGTATCGGGTGTTAGGCTACTATAAAACCCAAAATAACACAATGCCTTCATTTAAAAATGAGCAATAGGATTCAAACAATAAAAAGGGAATATTTTAACCTCCATCATTCACCACATACTGTAAGATTTCCACCTAATAGCATTTGTTCTTCAATTGAAACTTAATCCGGGTAAATGGTGCTTAAATGTTTAAATCACATTTACAGGCTGTCAACTGATGTGATGTTCTTCACATGGTCACCCTTTGTTTGAATGAAAATAAATTGATGGCAAATGAGAAAGGATTCTTCAAAACGGTTTGAAGAGACTTACTGGATCGTAGCTCCCCCAAGTGGCCGTTTAGGTCAACTAACAGAACCTCAAAGCCAATGTGGGAAAAGCACACACAGTACAGGAGCTCTCAGTAGGTCTGATAATTCTTATAGGGGCAAGTGAAATAAAATGATTTCCGGTAAATTGTCTGGGATTGCTGCTGAGAACGAGGTCACTGTTACATATCATGAAATAGGCAGTCTGGGTTCGCCTCTCCAGCTGTTTCTCACAGGAACAAGAGACCAACTGAGCAGCAGACACTTCCATACATCATCCTCCTCATAATTATCATCATTAACATAATCATCATAATCATCAAGTGGAGGAGATTGCTGTGGTATTTGACCTACAGGAGCTCAAATACTGAGCAGTGAGCATGCGGTGTATGTACAGGAATGAACAAGGATGATGTAGAAAAAAATCTGACCGGGCTGCTTTTTATGTCCAATTGTGTTTTAGGGTTAACATTTTAATTTACAGAAATATTCCCTTCAGTGTACAGTGAAATTAAATTTTGCTCCTTGAATTTTTTTTTACAGTGTGTAAGCAGCTTTAAATTTGGGTTGACATCTTTGTCTGGGATGTGGTAACTAAAAGAAATGTTAACTTACTCCACTGTATATTTAGAAATATTTGTATTTATGTAAAAGGAAAACAAATAAATAAATAAATATAAAATAGAATAAATATAATAGAATATAATGCAGTGCCGCTCTCAGGCATTCTGTGTTGCTTTCAGATCGGTTTCTTCTGTAGATTAACGTTTCTCATCATCCCTGCTCAGGCAACACAAATGTAGGCAGGATTACTCCCTCCTCTTTTGTCATGTTCAAAGGGAGAGAACGGCCAAAAAGAAACTGTGACAAGAAGATGTCATAGTTACTGTTTGGTGAATGCACGTTTTGGGGTCATTTCATCATCAGTAGCTTGTTTTTTTTTAGCTTAAGTAACTTTTTTTGATAATGCACATTTGTTTTTTCCATATTTTAATTGCATTGCATGTGTGCAACTAAACCTTTCTAAGGGCAATTTCATTTATTATTTAACTGCAAGCTATATTTCTGAACATTTTTTCTTTAAACAAATTATGCTTAGTAGCCTAATGGGGTCACAATTAGCCATTTCAAAAAGTGGTGGGGACATGTCCCCAGCGTAAATGACACCTATGTTCAAGTCTCAAATATTAAAACGTTATGTGTAATATATGTGAGATAAAAACTCAGACTGCACCAGGGCCAAAGGGCAGTTCCTCGCTCCAGTACACCGGTGTGTTGAGATGTACTGTACCGTCCGGACGACTTGCTGTCCGCGGTGCTGAAACGCTGACGTAGGAGGGGGCCGCTCATCACGCATCCTCTCCTCCGCTGCCATTTTTTGTGCTACTGGCTAACTTGCTAAGCAAGGGGTCTCCATCAGGAGGAGGCGGAGAAGACTGCAGGCAGCAGAGAGAGGCAGTCAAATCAAGAGACTGAACTTTCCCTGGAGAATCGGGGAGCTCTTCCACACAGGAAACCGTTATTAGAAAGACTGTACAATGTCTGATTTTGACAGCAATCCGTTTGCAGACCCGGACTTCAGCAATCCCTTTCAGGTAGTTACCTAGCTAGCTAACGTACGCTACAGAGCCCAATGAGGCCAGTTTATCCCTGCTGTCTTAGCTTAGCTTGACAGCTAGCTACATGTTTTCATTTGGCATACAGCTAGGTAGCATAACGAGCTAATCATAATCTACAGTATTATCTCGTTACTCACGCATTGTATCGCTGTTCACTTTGTAAAATAAGATATAATGGATTACCTAGCACGTTGCTGATGTTTGTGTCCAACGTTGTAATAACGTTGTATGCCAACTAAGAACAAAGACACATGATGTTAGCTGGCTAACTTAGCTGTGCCCACCGTCAGTAAACATTTACTGGCCCCCTGCTAGCTTGGTAGAGAGCTAACCGGCTGGTTACTATCTGTTAAGTTAGGTAGAAGCTAGAGTTATTTCCCAATTTAGCTGGGACACGGGTTAAGGAGATTTAAATATTGTCACAGCGGCGCTCCAACATAAACTATTATGATAATTAATTGCGTTAATGTAACGTAACGTTAATACACTGCACGCGTAAACGTTTGACACTAATATTGTATTGTAACACTGATTTACTCATGTTGGTGTGGAGTGATACATAAATAGGTTTCTCTTAGACTGTTTTCCATCTAGCTTATTTTTCATGCTGTTTATTCGCCCTTCTAAACTATCCTGCCTTTTACCAACAGTCTGCAGGTTTTCATCCCTACACCTTATAAAGGCCTTGTATTGGCATGTTGACTCCCTCTCCTGGAAGTTGTTTTAATCAGTGTGGAAACTGTTGTCTCTTCAGGGCACATGGTGGGCCACCATATCATGTATGCATGTAATTAGGAACCTTTCTCAGTTCCCTCTGCACCTGATCCCATTCATAGTGATCCAAGTAGCACCAAGATCAAGAAAGGCCACTTCAAAACAATATAGTAACATGAATGTTTTTATTCTGTTTCCACCCTACCTGTTTTCAATACATCAATAATAACTGGTCAGAGCGAATTAATTAACAGACCCAGTGTATGTGTGGTCAGCTGGAGGCTTTCATACACATCAGAAGTTAGTTAACAAAAACAATAAATAAGCTTTTGATTTTGTGCTTCTAGTTTTTTCCCGTTGAAACCCTTTGTGGTCCTTTCTGTCCCGTAGGATCCTTCGGTGACGCAGGTGACCCAGTCTGCCCCTCCTGGTGGTCTGGAGGAGTATAACCCCTTCACAGACGCCAGAACGGTCAGCCTAACTAGCATCCCTATTAATGAGTGTGTGCATGAATGTGTTTGTGTGCCTCTGAGCCAGTGACCTCATTCTTATCCACAACCCTCTTTCTCTCTTCCTCCACCTATCAGTCACAGAGGATTTAACTGACAAAATGTGACTGTGGCCTAATTGCAGTTTTGATTTAGGGTCAGTCTTGTGATTGCACAGATGTTAACATAGCAGGTCTATGCTGGCTTACAGGCGGCTCCTGGAAATGCCCCCAAATCGACTCCTGCCCCTTCCCAGAACACACAACCTGCCATCATGAAGCCCACAGAAGAGCCGCCGGCATACTCACAGCAACAGACTCAGGTACTACACACACAAACATGTTCATATACACTGAATCAAATGTAGTTTACTTGGTCGAAGACATAGACTCTCAACATTTCTGTTCACTGTAACATTGCACAGACACTCTCTGTCTTTGCTTCTGGTTCACTTTTCCTCTTGTCCTTCATATACTCATCTGTTTTCTGATGGCCCAGCTGCGGCGTAATGAGGTACTGTCTTTCATCTGATGTTTTCCGTACCCCTTCATGTCACCGTCTTGACCAGTGTGAATTCATTTAATTCCCTTTCCCAACTTGTAGCTTTCCTCTTGTAGTACAATTTTAGAGCTAGTTTAATACTAACTACAGAAGACAAGTGAGTGAACAACAGTAGCTGATTGCTTTTCCAATCCCTTTGTGTGTAGCCTGCTTTTTTTCCCTTCTTAAACTAACACACCTAAGCTCACTTGAGTGGCAAAACACCGTCATTACTTATCTGATTGGAACTCTTGTCAGATGTTGGGTAGGGAATTTTAAGAGCATTTCTGTGTCTCTGTTAGGACCAAGCACGTGCTCAGGCTGAGTTGTTGAGAAGGCAGGAGGAGTTGGAAAAGAAAGCCGCAGAGCTAGATCGTCGGGAGAGAGAGTTACAGTCCCACGGAGCCGCTGGAGGTCAGTCAGTCAATCACTCGCTCTCTGTATTCACCTCATTAACTTCAGAGTCTGAATGGTCATTCCCAATCAAACCTAGATTCATGACAGTGTTGATAAGAAAGTTGATGTGTTATCATGGCAAATACATAATTTGCATAATTTGCAACAAACTCCATTTGTTATGACCATTATAACTCTCTGAGTCACATATTACACATGAAACTATGTATGTTTATTTATTATGCATTCTATGGAAGCACCTCTAGAAATAAGCCTCTTTTCCATTGCTGGTACCAGCTCAACTCGCCTGGACTCGACTCTACTCAACTCGGTTTTGGCCTGCCGTCCTCCATTGGTCGTTATAGCAACACCACACACAACTGCCGCGACGTAATGTTCAACGTGACACACGAACGCGACTCACACACACCAGCTATCTCTTGATTTAAGTTAAATGTTTCAACTTTGTTATATAAGTCTATGGTTTCAACATTACTCAGAATGTAAAGACAGATAAGCGGTAAGAAAATCTTACATCCATGGTTTCCTCTGCCGTTGTCACTGGAGTTGTCTGCTGCATTGGTCTGTGTGACTGTGGGACAAGAGCGGTCTGTAAGCTGACTGGTCTTGTGGAGCTCCTCAACTCCGAAAACATTCAAGCACATTTTTGATCCACAATAAATTTTTGTAAAACGGCCAATATTCAAAATCTAATCACAGTTGATCAAAACTTCTTCTTGACTTCTTGATATTGCACGTACTACATTGTGACTATTGCGCGTGGGCACATTGCAATGGAGATGCCGAAACAATATATTGTGCAGCCCTACTAATCATCCTCCCTTTTGTCCAAACAGGGCGTAAGAACAACTGGCCTCCACTGCCAGAGAAGTTCCCTGTTGGCCCGTGTTTCTATCATGATATTGCAGTGGACATTCCTGTAGAGTTCCAAAAGACTGTCAAGATCATGTACAACCTTTGGATGTGTAAGTGGATCCTCTGACACACCCAAGTTTTGCCTCCTATTCCAGTGGATATTATTATTTTTATGTATTTTAATTGTCTCACACACTCCACAGAACATGTGGGTTTACAAGACTCACCCACATATTGCATTGCAAGAGAAGATACCTGCTCTGCTCTGACTTTACTTAGGAATGTTGTTACGCTAAGATTGCCCTGCACACTTCAGAATTATCAAAAAAATAAGCAGACTCTTGACATTTGAAACAAAGACATTTTTTACGTATTTAGCTGAGCATAAATTATAGTTTGCTGTGTTTTTGTACTGAAATGACACTAAAAATCTTGTTTTTCTACCAGTTCATGCAGGCACCCTCTTTGTGAACATGTTTGGCTGCATGGCCTGGTTCTGTGTGGACACATCTCGTGGTGTAGATTTTGGCCTGGCCATGTTGTGGTTTCTGCTGTTTACCCCCTGTTCTTTCGTCTGCTGGTACAGACCGCTTTACGGGGCTTTCAGGTAAGCAGATACATGAAAAATGACACTGCCTCCTGCAGCAGTAGAAAGAAGCAGAAACATGTCTCTATGGGCAAACACTACTGATAAAGCAAAAGGCGGTAACTGCTGGGCTGTTGACTTTGAATGTGTTATTTCGTGGGGTATAGAAGCTCCTTCTTTATTATCTTCTCTTTTTCAAACCCTACACTTACCAATTCCCAAGAATATTTTATTATACAGGAAGAGTGTATAAAGTAAAAACACGGATGAAGGCAGACTCAGACTGATGGAAGCAGAGAGGAATTCATGTTTAGTGGAGGATGAATTAGCGACAATATTTAAAAAAATGTATTGCCTCCAAATTGCTCTCTCACTACCTCGCTCTCTGTCTCCACTGTAGGAGTGACAGTTCATTCCGCTTCTTTGTCTTCTTCTTCGTCTATATCTGTCAGTTTGGAGTTCATGTCCTACAGACTATTGGCATCGCTGACTGGGGAACATGGTGAGCACGTTGCTCTTTCATTGATTCTGTACCTCCATGAGTGTGTACTGAAGTTCACTGACATCGTCTTTGTTTTGTTTTGCCAGTGGTTGGATCGCAGCTTTAACTGGTCTCAACACCAGTATCCCAGTGGGCATCATCATGTTACTGATTGCAGCTCTGTTCACGGCACTGTCTGTGGGCTCGCTCATTATGTTTAAAAAGGTAACACAATCACAGAGTTCTCTACATGTGAACACCAGGTGCTATGTTTTATAGACTCTGCCTGAGATGTAAGAAACCAAATGGCAGTGGGCCGGGTTACTTCTGGCTGGGTTACCTGATGAAAATAAGGTTAAAAACAGGTTAATGAGGCAAATTACAATAAATGTTTTTAGTATATCTATTTTGTTGTATTTATAACGGAACAGATGTTCTCTAACATGCTGACAGTGACAGAAAGTGTGACTCGAAGCAGGCATTAGCGAGGTTTCAAGAATAAACAGGACACTGTGTGTCATTATTATTCACTAATGTTGAGCTAAACGTCAGTGTTGTGATTAGCCAGGAAGTGAAACATCTGCCTAACTGAATTCTGTGCTAAATGTCTCGTGGTAGATTGAAATTGATTCCAACAAATTTTCTTGTTTGCTTTTTATTTTCCAGGTGCACGCTCTGTATCGTACCACTGGTGCTAGTTTTGAGAAGGCCCAACAGGAGTTTGCGACGGGGGTCATGTCTAACAAGACTGTTCAGACTGCAGCCGCCAACGCTGCAGCTAATGCTGCAACCAATGCCGCTCGTGGGGCCTTCAAATCTCAGCCATAAACTGACACACACACACACACACACACACACACACATACACAAATATACACAAGCTCACACACAAAAAGCATATATACACACACTCAAAAGTTGGAGGTGCACAACTCTGGCCCTGCAGGCTCTCAGATCAAATTGATTCTATTTATGAATGTTGTTATGCTAGGATTGATTATGACTTATGCTAAGAGTCAGAGGCCAGAAATAACAGAGGAATTAAGATAAATAAAAGATAAAGTGAGCAGAGTTGTCCACCTCCGCTTAAAATCAAGTTCAGTAAAAATACTCTCCTACATCCTTCCTGTCTGCTTTTCAGTCAGATAACTGTCTCCAAACATCCCTTGGAACATCCACTAAGTGACTCAAGGTGTGCTCTGAGTGTGTGGGATTTCATCTCACCCCCTCGCTTTCCCAGTTCTTCTATACCCTTGAGGTGATCCCAGGTCAGGCAGAGGTCGCAGGTTCCACATACCTTATTTTTGTCATGGTGATGACCTCCAAACAGCTTCCTGTCTGGTTAATACAGCAGAGTCATGAAAAGGGATAATCTGATCATGGTGTTTTGCACATAGTTCTGTTTTCTTGGTCACATACCGAAAGTACAGTGTGTGTTTGAATGGCTGGGCCTGTGTGTGAATGTGTACTTCACTCTTAAGAAAATTGTGGTTCTGACTTCTGTTTTTTTTATTTTTTATAATCCAGTCATCCAGACAGTCATCTGAAAGGTAGACTGTACCTTGTCCTATATCTGTGACTCTATTCCATATAAATAGAAATATGTCGTTATGTTCTTCGTTAAAGACCTGCCTGCAGCCCCTAGCAGTGCTCCAGTGATACCTGTCAGTCTAACAGTTATTCGCACTTTGTGTGCTACCTTGATTGGCAGTGTGGGCTTGGGTCAGCATCTCTGCGGCTTACCAAGATTTGACAGCATGATAACGACGTGCATGTTTAGCACAACCCAAGGTAGCTGCTTCTTTGGCAAAGTCATTCTGTACACTATAAGCCTTTTATTCTGGCCACAGGTTGTATCTGGTTTTGGGGGAATGTTTGCCTACTTATTTTCCCCTTGGTTTGTTGTAAGAAGTGGGCTGTAAAGGTATTGCATATCCCAGTGGCTGATTGACTAAGAGATGATGTTTGACACACTGAACACCCCTGGTCAGTATGTCACTAGTTCAATCCACAAACCTAAAAGAGGTTCAGTCAGATTCTTTCATGGCCTGGTGCACTAAAAGGGGGAAAAACTTGAGAAACGTTCGCATTTTCCTTTATGTATGAATGACTAACAGACTACTATGTGGCTGTCTCTCAGTTTTTTTTTGCAGCCCTTCACACTTGGTTAAAAACTAACGCTGCTATGAATTTGAGAGCCGCTTGGTCGTGGCCTCCTGCTGTCATGTCTCCTCTTTTTTTATCTGCATTCATAAAATAGTAAAAACATTGATACATAGACTAACAGTCTGTTTGCTTTTTTACAGACTAAGTCCAGTGACTTTCCTCTGCCAGTATTGGATTACTGGCATCAGAAGTTTAATAGCCAAAATAAGCATTAAGATAACAGAGGATAGGACTTGATGCACATTCAGTGATATCACTAAGATGCATTAACTGATGTACAATAATATCAGTGTTATTCAACAATAATTCGTACAGGCTACTTTCACTAAAGTGAAATATAGACGTGGTTTACGTCTGTGTCATGCTTTAGAACCTCTCATAGTGGTGGTGTGTGTCTGAAGATGTGCATGATAGATGACTGATACTGCTGTTATTACACATGTATGGGCTAAACATAGTGGATAAAATGAGCGTTACTAAGTTGAAGGTCAACAATTTGTCGTGACGTACTTGGCCTACATCTTGGCAATATTGTTTTGTTTGGAAATATTGTTTTAGATTTCATTGCACATTTCTTGTTTTATGTTGGAATTAGTGCAAAAGACAAACATTTTTTATTTTATTTATGGTGTAATTTAAGTTGTTTTGGCATTTCAATTTTGTTCAGTTTGATTTGACATGTATTATGTTTGTGTGGTTTTGTAATGGCATGATCAAAGCATCAGCTAGATTTTAAAGTGTTTAACGACGTTGCAACGTGACCTTGCAAGAGGCGTGGATGAGGACGTGTGTGTGATTGGTATGAAAGGGACAACTAAACCTCCCTCAAGTGTTATTCTATGTCCTGAAAAGCTGTGAGAAATCTACCAAATGTCCATATAGATTTGTTTTTAAATCTTTGTGATGTGTTCCCTTGCCATGTTTTACTTTTAAGATGTTACACTTCAAAACACCCATATGACTCCCATGTATCTATAGTTTTAAACAGTTGTGATATGAAGCCATGCCATAGTGGGTCATTTCTTGATGTATTTGGTGAGCTGGTCTGCAGTACAAAACGATGTGATGCCGACATAAAACTGTTATTGACCGGTGACCATGTTATTTCACTGAATCAGAGTACAAACCTATTCAAAAGGGACACTTGTATATTTTGTAAAGTTGCAAATTTAATCCCCATTATCAATCACATGTAAAAAGAAAACGTAATGCACTCCTGTCTGGCCTTTGTTGCATGTGAAATAGTTTGAGTTTTGTATATTTATGGTATTAACATGAAATAAAATTTGAAAGAAATGTTTGTGGATTTTCAGATATCTGCTTCCTATGTATGTAAATTTGCAAAAATAATTACTGGAACCAAAGTGAAGGCTTGCCAAGTCTCCATAAAGCCAAAAATGTTTAGCTTGCTTAGGATCTGTAGTATGAACCAGTGGTTTCCCAACATTTTTGCTTATGACCTTTTAAAAAGAAAGTATGTCTAGTCACCATTTTTACAGTTTGTGTACACATAACAAAAAGTTGATGTTCACTGTTCCAAATAAGTCTACTTTCCAGCTCTAGGTGTCAGTGTTTCCTCAGAAGGTTTGGGTTTAACAGGAACTTAACATAAGTAAGAAAGTAGGAACTAAGGCACATCAGAGTAAAAGAAAGTTTTCACAAACTTACCACAGATGAATTTACTAAAGAATGCCTAGTTTATTCGAGTAAAAAAGAACAGACTATCTCTCCTCACACATAACCTCTCAAACATGCAGCATCATACATACAATGTGCCACAGTTGCTGTTACTCTTTTGTTAATGTAACAAAAAGAAACAGTCAACATATTAATTTAAGCACACACAGACTAGAAATGCTTTTTTTAAAAATACAAATCCATGCCGTGATTTCACTCTTCAGTCTCAACCTCTCAGTCGACTCACTCTCACAGCAAACACACTATAGTTGAATTATTGCACATCTGATCTACAAGGAATAAAAGCAATCACGTTACATTTACAGCAACTTAATACAGAATTGTTGGGGGGGAAAAAAACTGAAAACTAGTGAATAGAATGTGAAATGAATTAAAGACCAAGTGCAACACACTGTATCATGTGATTTTGAGGAATCCAAAAGTACCAAGCAAACAAAGAAGCCTGCCTTAATCAGCTTTTCAGCATGTTGAAATGACAACACTAATGACCTATTTGGAGTTTTTGCATTTGTGTCGATATGCCTCAACAAAGGCTTTTTAATTCCCCGCCCCCACTTTTTAGTGTCTTTACAAAGCTAGATCTTTTCTGAATGGTGTGCCATAAGGTAACTCATGATACACTATGGTCTGCCTGCTTTATCTCACTGTGAGCAAACATCCCCTTATGAAAGCTCACCACAGTGAAACATGTGGCAAAGTCTCTCTTCCTTCTCTGCACACACTCCGCTAGTTAATAAGCTGCAGTGGACCAGCAAACAATCCATTTAACAGGAGTTAACAATCCCTTAAGTGGCAAATCTAAAGTTACAGCCTGACTGTCCTGCTGCGCCACAGAATCAGCCACACTTTGAAACAGTTCATGTCTATAACACACACATACACACACAGAACATATGCAAGCTGTTGATGGGTGTTTTAGTGGACACATCTGTTAGTATTCAGTGGCTTGTTGAGGTTTGCAGGTGAACCGTGAGAATGAACATTATAATGACGTTACAAACCTACACACTGTTTTACTGACCTGCTCACAATAACACTTAAGGCATGTCTACTACTCATTTCTTTAACTAATCTCCTGCTATTTCACTACAGTGGTTTGTTTCAGGCATTAACAAACAGTATCTTGGTATCTGAAGCAGTACATTTTTTCCTTTGTCTTGGTATCACCAGACAGGCCCCAGCAAGTTAGAGAAGAGAACCCCATGCCGAACGATTAAAAAAACTGTTACAAAGACTTCTATCTTTTTAATAATCAGCTGATTTTATCCAGGCTATCATGAAGAAAATCCCTTAGATAAATGTATGTCCTCCCTCCACTGAGATGTACAGATGTCTATATATTTCCTGGAGTTTCCCAAGGTTTCTGGAAGCTCAGAGCAAGCAGATCAGACTCTTCCCCTCCTCAATCTCCTCCTGAACCTTATCGCTCGAGGTGGCGATCTCAGCCTGTGCAGACAAAACAGCACACAGGAACGTTGAAAGCGTTCCCCCGATCGCTGCGTAGAACGCCCAGCCGAGAGAACACAGAGCTGGCTTAAAGGGCGAGGCCTCGGGGCCGCAGTAGCCAATCACCTTCTCTGAACCCCAACCAGCAGGGTACAGCATGAGGCCCACCATCAGCAACAGGCCTGGAGGGAGAGCAGATGAGATGAGGGGTTTAGTCAGTACATGTAAACACAGGGGCTGAAAGCACAAACAGAACGCAGTGCAGCTGGGAATGTGGTGACTCAGATCTGGTGATGGATCATCCATTTTTCAACTGACAAGCATTTGATTTGTTATGGGAGGAAATGCCACCCCTACAGTGATGTCACACTATGACAGATTACCTACTCGACAGCCCTGTCCAGTCAAACACACCTGCGAGATCCCATTGTTGAAAGAAACATGCAAAAAGATTTAGAGAAATTTGGTTGGTCTATGAGACTGCCAGCTTGTAAACTCAACAGCAACACTGAAATTCCCCAAAGGCCTAATCATGATTATAAAAACGTCCAGCAATTTGCTTGCATGGACATGAAACCACTATAAACCACGTGTCACAGGTCCCAGATTATTAGAATTAGCTCCTGAAGCTTGTGAGGTGTAACTCTTTCACTGCTTGAGTTTGTCCATGATTCTTCACATCTTTTTCTGAGCTCAGGCACAGGAACATTCAATTTAAAGGATGCACATTTGCTGAGACCTTACTTCCTTTTAAACTTCAAACTTTGAATGCATGAACGTAGAGGAAGCATGGCCCAATTTGGGGGTGAAACCATTGTTTGATATGAACACTAAAAACTCAACAAAAAAGTGCAAACAATTGAATCAATATTTTCAGTTTTGACTTTACTTCAGATGTCTATTTTGCAGAAACCATAGATCTTCATCTTGTCTGAGTCTGTATCTTAGTTAAATATATTTGGGAAAAAAGCACAACATTTCAGACAGGGATAGAACAATAAAGTCCTGGACTTGTTTCCATCAGTTTTCACAGTCCACCTGCCTTCTTTAGGAAACAGACCAAGATATTCAATGTCTGAAAACACACACACACACACACACACACACACACACACACAGATAGCTGTCTCACCTGCAATAGCCTGGAGCAGTCCACAGATGTTGAATATGCTTTTCTTAAGGATGCTCTGGAAGCACAGGCTGAAGATGGAGATGCAGGCCACTCCTCCTAATACTAACGTCCCTGCTGCCAGAAACAACATGGCAGCCTGCCAGAAGCCACTGGCCACTTCTGCAAATGTCCCGGCGTAGGGCCCGCAGCTCACCCCTATTCCCCGGGTCCCGATACGAAGGCAGCGGCTGTAGAGTCCAAGAGCTGGCCGGTACTCCCCAGAGTCCACTCCCGCCCCGTTCGCACTGGAGTCCGACTGAGGGATTCCCAGCAACCAATCGGGGCTCATGAAGGCAATGAGCTCAGCAAAGGCCACTACAATACTGAGCAGTGTCCAGAGCATGGAGCGGCATGTTACAATCACTTGGCACATGGCGTTAAGGCTTTCTGAGATGGTACCAACAACTGATAAGAACAAAAAATGAAAATAGTTGAAGCCCTTTCAAGCTCCTCCAAGTGACAGGGCACTGATATTGGGGAGTTTAAATTCCTTTCCTTACAAAGAGAAAGGTCCAGCAGGTTCCCTGTTCAGATCCAAATGGGCCACTGATCTTATCTTCTCAGAGCAGATGTTTCCCCTCCTCTCGTGATTCTTTATTCTTTGCTTTCCCCTCTTCTTCTTTCATGCAAGGTCTGGATCTGGTCATCCCAAACGGCTACAATGCTCCAAAGCAACTTCCCTCAGCCATGGTACCGTCTGAAAAACACGCCTACAGACACAGAGACGAACGAGGGTCAGAGAAGAATCTGTATACATATGAAGTGGAAGTAAATGACTGGTACAAGGGGAAAAGAGGGACACAGTGTAAGAAGGATAAGCAGCGACTCATTTCCCATCCACTATGAGTCATCAAGCTCCCTTGTATTTGCTGGATGCCCCACAGGATGTCTAATTTGTATCATTCTCATCAAATAGACCCATCCTCACCCATGACCTTCCCACACAGTGCTACTTCAGATTCACCATCAGTCAGCTGTGAGTGTACCATGAGCAACACTTCCAGATGTCTTTTGGAACATTCAAGATGAATCTCACACACACACGCTAGAGACAACAAAGTTCATCCTGTTGTCATTTCACTCTAGATCACTAGGCCTTTGTGTGTTTCATTTTATCTGCAAAATGACTGGAGCCTTGTGTGTTTTACTACTGAGCAGCTATCAACACATATGAGCGCAGAGTTCTGTTACAGCATGCAGTAAGACACAGCATAACATGCCAGATCCTCACTGCGGTGGCAAACACACACATGACATCAACTGGAGCTATATCAGTCAGTCAGTTCACAATTTAAATTACAGTCTGAATAAATGCAGTACATTAGAGGGAGTGGTTATTGGCTTTATCACAGCATTTATGATGTTAACTTTGATGCTGCAGCAAAAACTCTAAGCCTGTGTTCTTTATTCAACAGCAATCAAAACTTGATTACAAAAGACTTTTAACCTGTAACAGATGACATTTCCAGCGCAATCCTCTCAACCTGTGTGTGTGTGTGTGTGTGTGTGTGTGTGTGTGTGTGTGTGTGTGTGTGTGAGAGAATTGGTATTGAGTGTGTCTAGGTCCCAATCAAAGCGGTTGCGATACTGTTGCTATGTTATGATTTAGTTGCTGTGACCACCATGGCCTCGACACAGCCGTGGTCTCATGGGAGCACCGAGGTTTCTCAGAAGCCCTATGATGTCATGATCCAGCATTATGATATACACAGGAAAATATGTGGGATCTGGTTTTAAATACAGTGTGGTGGACCCTGCTGTCTTGGTGGATCTCACTGGTGGAGTCAGGAGAAGTCCCTGATATTTCCAAGTCTGTGTATCTCCACCAAAAAACCTTGTGAGAAGTTGAAAGGGTCTCTACTGGTATCTAGCCATGCAGACAGTGTTGGTTTTAATGGCTGAGGTTTGCAGATTTCCGACTCTGAAATGAGAGCCTCCACCCCAATTCAATGGAGGTGAAGAGAATTTCATTCTTGTGCTTGCAG